GGTTTCCCCTGTCGACGAGGTCGTTGTTGGCGAAGTGGAGGCTCGTCAGCAGCAACTCAAATCGATGTCTGGTCATAGTTTTTGTGACTGCAGGGTTGCAGTAGTAGTTGTCTGAAGACCAGTAATCCCGAAGTTTTGACAGGCGAACGAGTCCCATGTACAGGCAGATGCCAATAAATTGCCTCATCTCCTCGGTGGTAGTGTCGGTCCAGTCTTTGTTCTTGTCCCTCATCTTCTTAGAACCGTACCGGTTCGTCTGTGCCACAATGAGGTTCAGCAACTCGTCCGTCAAGAAGTAATCGATAGGCACTTCACAACTTTGAACGTCCGCATGAATTCCGCACTCCTCGGTAAAGGCAAAGCGATCGTGAGTGGTGGCATCCTCGACCCAGGTTTCTTCTTCCTCTCCTTCATCTGGATCCTCTTCCTCATACTCAGAGTCATCATCGGAGTCGTATTGTACAGGTACGACCAGGGATCGGGCAGCAGGAACATCATCATCATCGGGCACAGGCTCTTCGTCGTCACTGTTGATGAGCAAGTCGTCGAAGCTCCAATTCAGATCGCCGACTTCGTCGGAGGCAGCCATGGTCAGAAGGAAAACTGATTGCTTATCACGATTTCCCCAGGGTTTTTATAGTAACAAGGCCCTGGGCCCGGAGGGATCTCGAAGATTCTTCAATTTTCTATCACCTTCGAGAAACATCCACATTTTCAATGAATATCCTCTGGAACTGTTGAGAACGTTCCAGAAGATTATGATTTCGTAATTACTGATAAAAATTCCAAAAAATTCAACATTAAAAAAAAACTCGGCAAAAAAAATGTTTTCTGGGACCATGCGTCCTGATGGCAGGACGCATTTTTTGACAAAAAAAAATGCGCGTGGTTCCACGCGGCGGACAAGCAAAAATAGGCTGGTCGTCAACGTGTTAAAGTTATCAGATTTTATATGGTTACATGGGCAACAAGAATACAGAACAAGTTTTTTGTCATAGTTACGAAGCGGAATGAAAAGCGTGCCATCAAATGGGCAGGTGATCTTTGCCCCATTCCACACATTCGTTCGAAATGACAGTAAGGTCTGGTGGAGCATCCAGCTCCATCCTCCACGACTCTCATAACTGAGACTGTAAAGGGCCGCCTGGTGCAATGGTAGGAACTCGATAAGGAAGAATTCCTCCTTGCAGGAGTTCTCGCTTTCTTCAGGATGAAGATGGGCCTAATTCTTAGTCAGTTATGTATTAAACCCTCCCAACAAACCTAACTCAAGCATTGGATCATGGTTTTGCCTTTCCTCACCTCCAGGAATTCTGTCCCCTTCGGATATCAGCAGAGGATGCGTAAGGAATCTCTTCCAATGCTTCTCGGCAGGGATGCATTCACCATATTGCGCTGTCCCATGAACATGAAGAATAGCCTCTTCCAGGTCAGTTCTGTATCGTGTAGGTGAGAAATGTGTGAATGCCTTTAAGTGCCATCTAAAATTAGGAAATTATGTATAATTCCTACCTAACCCTCATCTGACAGATTATGATTTCATGGAGACGGAAGGTGGAGCTTGCCTGCACCCAGCTTTAATCTTATTCCTGGAAAATGTAGAAAGTGGTGAACATCATGCATCACATCTCATCTGAACTTGCAAGATATCGAAGACTTGTGGAACATTTTTGACTTGTTTCAAGATATTGCAGTGTGACTCATATACCTTTTTTGTCCTTGAATCTGTACGCATCATATAGTATAATACATTACATTGAGTTTGAGTGCGTAGTGAAAGCCCTGTTTCCAGCATAAAATGCTTTTAAAAAACCTCAGTATTGAGTATTTGATGATTTAATTGAAGTTGAATTGATTTTAAATGAAGGTGCTCCTCACTTTTCCAGTAAATAATGCTTTCAGGTTTCCCCAATTGTTGGTTTTAAGAATTCGCCATGACCTCAGACAATAAATTGATATATATGCTCATAAAAGAATATACCGTTGTTTGCTGGAATTCCAAAGAATGGAGAAGGGACGAGCTCACGAATCGCCCCGTAATCCATCGCGCTGGCTTGAAATCCCCCAATTCCCAGCAACAGGCGGGAGGCACTGTGGTGAGTGGCGCCACCGTCCCCTAGCTAATCTCGCTGCAACTCTCGTCTCCCCATCCAATACTGAAGATGGCAAGACGAGTGCCCCCTTCTGATTGCCAAATCACTAAGTTCATTTCTCCAAGGCATATATTCGGGTGATCAGGATGATTTCTGTGAAACCCCCGAGTTTTCTCAAAGCATTTGACCTGTGGAGGTGTCGCAAACACAGAAACACATGCATGTCGCTCGGCCCAGCTAGCGGCCGGGATAGAGGTGTTTAACTGGTCCTCCACTTTGAATAATAACTGTCTTTCGATAGGCACTAATCTATATAAGACCCCGTGCGACTTGACGATGTTCTCAATGGTTCACGCCTCCAGGCCGCGTGGGGACGGAGAGTATCAAGTTAGAATGCCTGATGCGGTACTTCTCGCATACATTCAGTAAGCCTCCCAACTCGATCGGCAGTAGCCGCTCTCTCCTAGGAGGTAATGTCTACGAGCGATCCCTCATCTTCGAGGGCTAGAAGGGAAATGGAAGTTTTAGTTGTAGAATTTCGCCCTGACCGAGACGGAATGCTGTACGTGCGCACTGAGTCGTGTTTTACGGTCGCTATTGATACTGCGGACAGACGCAATGAAAAAAAAGGCGATAGATGGATTGCAGCATGTGCCTATGAGAATGGCAGATAATAACCCCGAAGTGATTTTAATCCTATGGAAACTTGTGCTTCAATCTACCATAAATGCAGTAATTATGCACCGTGTTAATTTCGGATGAATCGGGAATACAGGACAGCGCGCGTGCAATCCTGTTTTTATATCTGTGTCCTTCCTCTCTCCCTTCCTGCCTCGCAGGCAATCTTGTTCCTTCGGCAGCCTCGCTCACTCTCGCACGCACATCCCCCCTTGCCTTCTCTTATCTCTCCTCTCTTCTACCCCTATGGTCTCCTACCCCTGATAGCATGAGGCAATCGTCCCTTGTAAAAATAGTCATTGGCAGATGCGAAAAAAATGATTTATTCGAAGGCTGCAGAAATACTGATATCGCGACTGGTGGAGAAAGAGTATCTGCGACCGAACGATTCTTAGTTATTGCCCCATCGCCTATCGAGAACGGCATATGCATGCATACATTTATATTGGTAACCTAGAATGTTATGTCCCAAGAAGAAGAATAAAAAGTTGATGTTCCCGCGGTGAAGTGATTGAGATTTTCAAAAAGACGCGTGGAAATCGGGGTCTTTAACTTCGATCCATGGCCTCGACTCGGGTTTGAGACCATTTTCAGTTTTCATGAAATGTATGTAAACAGTAAATAGATTATAACTTTTATTCGTGAATTCACTGCATAATTAAAGCTTGGATATGGTATGAAAATGATATGAAAGTGCCAGGTTAATATCCTCCCGCGTCCTAATTTCATCTGAATTCTCAACTGCTCATGAGGTTGACTGCGTGAGAACCTAGAACCGAGCTGTCTTTCGGTGAGGTCCATGCCTGCCTTCGTTCTTCCTCCGAAAGACTCTCAGCTAATGACTAGAAGTGAGGATGGACGGGAAAGGGAAAACTTAAATGAAATTCTTATAACATTACTCATCACGAACTCAAACCTGAGCACATGACCACTCAGAATTTTGTTACTGATAGCAAAGAGACCCCGGAAGAGCATACCAAATGCAACTGAGTCCAAGGTACATGAGGGAGATGCATTGAAAGAGTCAGAAAGGGAGAGGGAAATGTGAGAGAGAGAGAGAACGAGAGGAGAGATGGTGAGAGCAGCGAGAGCGGGGAATGTATATAGTAAGGACCGTGCACAAGGACATCTCCCA